TCTGTGTTTCAAATATGTCCATCCTTCGGGTAGTGCACATTGCATAGGAGTTTATAAAATAATTCAGTTTCAAGAATAGTTATAAACCTCTAACACTTCTTTTTGTGATTTTTAATCCTAGATGACCTAGAGAAGGAAATTATGAGGCTTTACGTGCTACCATTTGCTTTTGCCTCAGTAATATTTTTGTTTATAACTTATCTGATTTTGCACAGGAAAGAAATTTTATTGAAAATGGTAAGTGTATAACATTATGATTTTTAGTCTGAGACAGAAGATAACAAAAAATATCCTACACTTAGAACCAATGGGTCTATATTTTATAATTTTGCCTGCTCACTGTGGGTATATAATAGATTCTGTATGGATTACAATGATGTCTTCTGAAAATACAATAATTTAACAAATTAACCCTGTAAGACTACATTTTGGGATGGATTTCCGTTTGTCAAAATAGAATAATAATACTTTAGAACTTAAAATACTATTTACCTCTAGATTAGAGAACAGTGTAAAGAAAGAGTTACAGGAGAAAAGCAGGATTGGGAGAAAGGAAAGGGTGACTTAAAATGGTCATAGACTGAAACATATTACCAGTGTACCACAGGCATAGGATCACATACAAATTATAAAACATAGTGCCTGTCCTCAGAGATCACACTCTAGTTGGAAGAGAGAGGACCTATACAAAAAATACAACTTGTAAGATGTTTTTGGTTGATTGCTATCTGAGTTGTACAGAAAATGTTATAGCATTTCAGAAGATGGGGGATCGCTGTGGGTTGGTGGCCTTTAAGGAGGAGTTACCATTTGGAGAAAAGTATCTTCATACCATATCTTTTCAAGATAGAAATGCAAATGTGTATGAAATGCTTCACTTTGCTGAATGCTTTTTTACTTATTTCCGAGTTATTAATCCTCAATGAAATAGTTTGCTATTGACGATTTGTTAATAACAGAGCTCTTTCTAAATTTCAGGATTTTTATACAAAAAAGGAAGATTTTTCTCAGCAAGAGACATCTGTTGACTTACCAGTCTCCTGTGATATGGACAAATGTTAAACATGAATCTTATTAAACTTAATTTTTTCTTCAAATGTTGAATGCATCTTGTTTTAAGGCATTGTTGTATTTAAATAGGCTTTAGAATACTTGAATCCTCAGCTAGTAGTAAATTCTCTGGGTTCTAAGAACAGAGTTTTTTTCTCACAAATTCATGGTGAGACTATTGCCATAGACAAGTCAAGGGATGGGTCAGATTTTATTCAATGATGTACTAATAAAACAATGTGATTTTGCAACTTGCACTAAACTATAGCGATACTGCCAAATTTTGGAAGATGAGATTGTAGTTTTATTTGTTGTTTGTTTTAAATTGCCCTCAGGATGAAAGTATTGAGCATGGATAGTTTGGCTTTATAAGTGCCTGTGGAAAAGATTAATAGGAAACAAGAAGTTTTAAATACATTTGTAGTCCTAAATGAGTGCTTCACATTTCACGAAAGAAAAAAAGAGTGTGGAAAGGCTGAAAATAATCAAATAACTAGGGATCATATTTGAAATATTCATATGTCACAAACTACACACTAAAAGCTTGGGAGCTTCCTATACTAGTTGGCAGGCAACATTTTCTACTTTCTGATGGTGTGTTTTTTGTTGTTTTTTTTTTTGGTTAAAAGACCAAAAGACACAAGCCTTTGAAATTCGTAAGAAGCTTTTTAAAAGTATATCCAAACTTCAGAGAATGTGGCAACCTAGGTGCAGACAGTTGCTTTTAAACTTGGGGAATAATGGACTACAATTGTGATTGTAGATTATAATCAAGAGCCAATTTTACTTTGGACTAATTTCTACTTGATACTATTCAAAGTAGAGTGGTCATCACCTGGGAGCTGCTTAGAAATGCTCCAACACAGACCTACTCAGCAATCTACATTTTAACAACATCCCCAGGTGATTCTTTTGCACATTCAATTTGAAAAGCTCTGATTTATAGCAGTATTTTACAATGTAAAATACTAAAATAATATAATAGGTAAGTTCATAGGGTAACTACAGCTGTAACTGATAATTGCCACTGATCATCTCTAAAAGAGGGAAAAGAGCTAAAACTGAGGTGTAAACCATAACACCATCCTTTAATATCACTTGTAATCAATGATAGGATGCACCACAATTTCCCTAAGTAGTCCTTGTTAAACATTAAAACTCCTGTGATAATATGAATTAAGAAGCAATATGACAGGCAATTTTTGTCAAGCCAGGGCTTGCTGAAGTCGGTCATGTGTGTTGAGAGGTGTTAGGGGGAAAGGAGGAATGTGGAGGGGGAGAGATTGAGGTGAGGCAGGGAAATGGCAGGCAACCTCATCTTTGGAGGCTGAGTGGGTCTTGGAGACCTAGTATTCCAATTCCCTTGTTTAGAGCACGCATAACAAGCCCTACCAATCAAAGGATTTCTGGAATTGCCCCCATAAAATTAGAAGCCCCAATCAGAATTGCCCCAACGAAGTGGATACGAGAATCAAGTGGCACCAAATTTGGACAGAGTTACCTTGCAAAAGGACCCCTGGAACTCCTGACTTACTAGCTGTGTAAGTTTACTAACCTTACAGTAATGTGAACCCAAATTATATGAAATGGTCTTTTTTTTTTTTTGAGAGATGAGTCACCTATGTTGCCTAGGCTAGACTCAAATTCCTGGGCTCAAGCGATAAGCGATCCTCCCACCTAAGCCTCCCAAGTAGCTGGGACTATAGGTTAGGTATGTACCACTATGTCTGGCTGAAATTGAATTTTTGAATTCCCATTTTTTTTTCTTTTTGCATATGATGGAGTTTTAAGGTATCGAATATTTCCCAAACGCTTGGTACACAGACAGTGCCTTAAGTCATGGCCCTCTTTTGCCCATCTGTCTTTTGCTGCTTGGCTCTGCCCCAGCCCCTTTGCCGCTTGGCTGTACCCCTCCCCTAGGACCTTCCAAGATCCAGCAACTAAGGCATAACACCTGTCACTGTAGGAGTCTCTCAGAACTCTACTCTAGGGCTAAAGTGAGCAAGGATGGCTTCATGGGTGTGCGCCTGCGCAATTGTACAGGGCTCCATGCTTGGAAGGGACCCAAACATGGTTTAATGGTCTGCTGTTGCCATCTGGAAATTCATTCTTCACCATGCCCTACTAATTATGCAACCACTCCTGATAGCCAGCATCAGTCTGATTAATCTGTTCAGGCTGTACCATTAAAAAATGAACATCACCCATATTTTTTATTTTGGCAAATCAGTGATTGAGATCTTAGAAATCACTCTGACCACATATCCTTCCGCTCATCCATCCATCCTTCAATTCAGTTCAATATTTATTGCACACCTACTATATACCAGACACTGTGCTAGTGTAAATATATAGCTATCCAGCTCAAGTTAGATAGTCATGTGCTTGAACGAGAGAGAAGTGACATTTATCAGGTGTCTACTATGAGTCAGCTTCTGTGCTAGGTGCTTTATATATATTATTTCAATAATCTTTTAATTCTCACCACAATCTGAGATGTATATAAGGTGTCTATATTATGAATGA